ACAACAACAAGCAACAACAACAACAACAACAACAACAACAACAACAAGGTACAACAACAACAACAACATGTGACAACTATGTTGGGCAGCTGTGATTGTGCGAACAACAACAACGCGTAGTAGTTGTGAGTTCTTTTCTTCTGGTGGACGCGGTCAGTTGTTTGTTGGGTTCATTGAAATTTCATCAATGTAGGCAGCCTGTTGCTTCATGTCGCGTAAGGTCCTGGCAAAGGTGGTGGGCATTCAGAGGACTGGGTCGTCCCCGCTTGAACAACCGCCCAAACGTCGGACTTTTCACAGTACCCTGTGGATCGAAAGTTGGTCCTATCTGCGATCATCTGTTGATCCTTTATGTCGGTAATATAACAGTACATATATCCCAAACACTCCATGTATAGCAAATATGGCATACATGGAGTGTCTGGGTTGTAGCCTCTCAGGAGTGTTTGGTGATCTTCACCTCCCATCCCGACTGGGGGTTCCCGGCCACCACCGAGCGGGCCGCCGCCGCACAGGCGCCCAGTCCCAGCATGGAGGGGCAACGGAAGACCTGGGCGGAACAGGTGAGTCGAATGTCTCCCGCGTTTTTCATATCCTGAAGCATCCATGACAAAGGTAGACAGGTATAGGGCTCTATTTTTTGATCATCAGTGGTTCAAACGGATGCCTAAAAACCCAAGTTCCCACATCGCTGCCGGTCCGACTGACTTCTCCTTGCTGGCCGAGTGGGAACCCAAACTAACTACCCGTAACTGCCGACGCAGCGTCGAATCCTCTTCACATCGCAACAGTGGCGCCTGTGACGGTTTGCAAGGAGACTGTGCTCACTAAGCAAGCTGTACAGCAGCAGGCAAAGGCGAAGAAGAGCCATTCGAAAGGCTCTAAGAAGAAGAAGAAGAAGAAGCTGGCGTGACAAATCGGCGTCGGCAATCGGGATTCAGAACTTGGGTTCATCAAAGACTCTGACTTTGACATCGGCGTTCGAAGTCACACTTGTGCGCTGAAGTCACACTTTGGTTTGTGACCCATGCTTTCAATATCTTCAATCATTGGAACTTCATTGCTTGCAAACATCAATGTCCAAACACGACATGGATCCTGGGTTGATTTCAATTACTTCATCGAATACTTTGTCTGATCACTTTGTGAAACAGAAAACTAGCAACGTTGACGATGCAAACATGGTACAAGTAGAATGGGCTTAGGACAACAAGGCAAAGTTTCCAAGCATACTATGGTGGTGCACCTTGCGTGCGCATCGGCTTGCAATACTCTTTGAAGATGTGGTTGAGGATGCTGCCAAGCTGTTCATATCACGACCTGACATTGTGAATGAACCGAAGTGGACGTCCAAAGAAAAACATGCTAATTTAGATCCTTAGTACCCCTTAGGTCCTCCGGTTTAGACCCGATTTGTTATCAAAACTAAAGAATTCAGCAAACTCCTTCGGTATGACCCAGCTTCATTCACATCCTGGACCCCCCCCCCCTCCGCACCCGGCCGGAATCGCCCGGGGGTTCGGATCTCGGGCGCCAACCCAACTCGGTGCCGAGGAGCCTGGCGGTGCGTTTGGTCGGAGTGCTCGTTGAACCCCGATCGGCCGCGCGCCCCAACAGATACCCTGCCGACTGAAGTCCAGTTCGACCTTCTTTTTTTGTTGACCGGCTGAAGGTTTCAGGAGATTCCTATAGACTCGGGTCACCTAAAGTAGACCTAGACCATTCTTTTGATAGTCTTTGACTCTCAGGGTATAGGCAAAGTCCTTCCGTACATGCATGGTCTGGGTGAGGCTCCTGGCCTACAGTCGACGGTTGGGGTGGGTGGTTCACACCGGCAGCCCTGGGGTGTGAACCCCACGAATGTGAGCTACTTGGAGTTGCTGTCCAGAAGAGGGATTCACCCAATCAATCCAGGGAAGCAACAATCCCTCGAAAACCAGAAAACCAGGGAGAACAATCAAGTGGATTGGAAAGGGCCTCAAAGAGGGCTGCGGTGCTGTAAAGCACTCCCAAGTTCAAGGTTGCAATCATATGTGCTTGACACGTGCGCCTGACGAAACCGAAAGACAATTTTCTTCTGTTTTCTTCTCAGCAAACCTGCGTCTGACTGGGGGGGTCCAACTTGGTTCGTTTTTCTCTGAAGGGGTGTGACCCACAAAATGAATGTGGCTCGAGGAGGCCAAACTCCACTGCAGCACACTTCCCAAACGAGCCGTATGAGCCCTAGATTGCCCTAGGCTTCCCCCACCCTTGATTGAACAGTCATTAACCAACAACCTATTCTTTGGCTAAGGACTTTACAAAACCAGGTCAACCAAACTCTCAGGGGGTGAGTGCTTTCGGGTCAATCAAGCTGTTCTTGGGAACTGAGCTGGGTGAACTACGGTCGAGTCCCACCTGGTAGCCGTGGATCCCGCATGATCCCGCCATGTAGACTCTTGATTAAGGCTCGGGATTGTAAAGCCACTTCAATATATATATATATATGGGGTATATATTCATCAACAGTACAGTCTCCATTATATATGACATAATTATACCAGACCAATAATATATAAAGTCATATGTACTACATCACGGAAGTTTTGTCAGATGCTCATGTGTTGAATCACTGCGTCTCACTGCGCTGCTGCCGGCTGCAACGGCACCGCAACGGGCACCGTGGTGCTTCCTCCCCCTCCAACTGTGCACCTCCGTCGAGGAAGGAGGAGAGGGAGCCCCGCATGTACTCCAAGGAGAGCTGCGCCTCCCAGGCTGAGTCTTGGAGCTCGTCACTCGGTCCAACACATCCACCGAAGTCATCCATGTTCCTTTCTTTGGGGAGGTATTCGGGTGGTTCTCGGGTGGTTTTTGGGTTCCCCGGATGGAGTGAGTCCCCTTCTGGGGTGGTTTTTGTTGTGTTGTTTTCCGGGGTTCCTGCGATTCCTGGGAGCAAATCCAAGAGCCGGACCCTCAAATCCCTAATGGTTTTGAGGGACCAAGGCCTGTTTGGAGCGTCTGGGCAGGAGATTCTGTGAAAAGTTCATCCTTCCAAATGGACTTCAAAGGACTTTAACCTTTCTCCGACCGCTTCCGACCTGCTCCCACCCAAGATTGGAGCGCACCCCCAGCAAGCCGCAACAGGTCTCAACGAAGAAGCAGCGCCAGAACCTCAGGACCCGTCCAGGCCCGTCCACGGCGCTCGAAGCTGCGCTCGTCTCCGGTGGATTCCAACGGATTGGGCCGCCTTTGATGGATGAAAAGGCACCAACTCCGCAGAGTTGGAAGAATTGACACCTGAACATGTTCGCAGATCAACATGTCTTGGTTTCCACTCGTAACCAAACTTCAGAGAAGAAACTGTCTATTGCAGCACTAGGATCCTACATCTAACTGGGAAACCATATATGTCAAATTCTTTCGTATCAGAAAAGATCAGAAAAGGTCCTTTTCTGGCGATCATACGTACCACCGCTGGCGATTGATTCTGGGCGCCCCAGGCGGCTGCTTGGGTCTGGCCGCGCCCACATCCGTGGCTTGTTCCACCTGAGGCGGAGTTTTCTGGAGATCTTAGGTTGGGAGGGCTGAAACATGTGGAATGTGATATTTTTGTGTTTTTTGTTGGCACACGAGGCAACTGGGAGGTTCTTTTTTGGACCTTGCAACCTGTCGAAGGATTTTCCTGCGGTGTTCATGTGGGGTTTCCCCAAAGGCCGCCGTGATTCGGGCTTGTCCGGAGCAGGTGGTGAGCAGCCGTTCTCATCCCGCCCGGCTCCCCAAGGAGGTCACACTCACTTCTGTCTCATCGGGAAGATCCATCCAGCAGACGATCCCATGGACTCCCGAGAATACGGGGAGAATTCCCCTGTGTCCATGACCCGAAAACACCGGCACGGTGTTGGGGGTCCAGTGGTGTTGGGGGTCCGTCCTCTGCAGGGTATCCATCCAGAAATGGTACCGGATTTAAAGGCTTACGCCTGACAGCCGGGCGCCGGCACACTAGGGTCTGTGTAGGGCTGGGTCGGGTGCACGTGCAGCTATCGGGGGCGTACAGGGCCCTGGGTGGGGGCAAGGTGGGAAACTGCTTGGCGTTGGAGACGGGGGCCGGGGTCTGGGGCACAAGTTAAGCTATCTGGTGCGCTTCTTGGCCCTAGGTTGGGCCAAGTTGGGCCCATGTGGTCTATGTTGGGCACATCTTGGGCCCATGTTGAGCCTATGTTGGGCCTATGTTGGCCGACGTTAGGCCTATGTTGGCCTATGTTGGCCTAGGTTGGGCCTATGTTGGGCCCATGTTGGCCTATGTTGGCCCTATGTTGAGCCATCTTGGAGGCTATGTTGGGCATATGTTGGGGATATGTTGGCTATCTTAGGCCTATGTTGAGGATATGTTAGGCAATTGAAATCGTCTGGAAGGCCTCTACCCACAACATGTCGATTATGCCTGTCCGCCCGGCGCGCATTACCGACACCACTCTTGAAAAACACAGCGTTTTTGCATTTGTCCATCTTCGCCGCGTCGTACTTCGATATGCGCAATAAACCCTGTAAAACACGGTCTCAAATATGGTACAAATGTCTGATCTTATCTCTCTCATTATATCCGTATGTGGCAGTGGCAGAACCCAATGTTCATCAAAAAAATCAGCAGACCCCCAAGGTAGCATCCAATCCCTCAGACCAAAAAGGCCACTAACTAAAAACATCTCTGAAGCATCCAACAAATCGTTCGCTCCCAGAAATCCTGGATCCCTTCCACGCAAACCCGGTCCACATGAGTCGACTCACCTGGGCCTGGCTGTTGACCAGTCACATCCCCTCAAAAACTGCAGGTGTTTCAAGCCCGACGGAAGTTGGGTGAAACCCCCCAAAGGGACAAAAACGAACTGAAGAAGTTATAGCTATAATCGAAAAGTCTCACTTCAGGGGGTCCATCGAAAGCAATATCGAAGCCCTGTATTTACCCTCTAGCTTGTTAAAGCTATAGCTTCGGATACAGCTTGTTAAGGGTGATACAGCTAGCCCTGTAATTAGAGGGTAATTATACAATCCGGGGATGATTCCCCCTCCAAGAGCCCATCGCTCGCTGCGCTCGCTGCGACGAGTTCGTTCTGGGCCGCCCCGGGCCCAGTGGGTGCGACCGCGGGTCACTGCCTTGGCGCACCGAGGAGGCTGGCGGGCCACGTCTTCGCCCCTTCCAAGACGATTCAAAGAAACGGTTAACATCAAATCACCGGTCCAGGAGAAGAAGAATTGGTTGTTCTGTAACAGCTATTAAATCAATAGTGTTCGGAAGATGTTGGAAGCCTAGGGTATGGTTTCCAGTTATCGTGGGCGGGGCTAGCCACAAGAGATCACAAGAGCACATAGCACAATTTGCAGGAGTTTGGGAGGTGAAGGAAAGATATGTTGAGTTTGTGTATCCAAACTCTGGCATCTTCATCTAGTTACTTACCAACATTCCCCAACTGTGGATTGCATCTTGATGGAAAACAGCGCCAATAGCAAGGGCCTTTCCCAAGACTTTCTTCTCACCTCCCTCCAGAGGTATTGAATCATGAATCGGTCACTAAACCAAAGGTCTTCGTTGGTGGGAAGGGTGAGTGATCATTTCGAGGGCCCCCGGTTGGGGGTGGTTACTGGACTCGAGTCACTTCGAAGCGTCAAATCTTAGACACCCCAGACCACGGCCAGTAGAATAGAGCGTGAGAATTAGAGACCCCAGAATTGGCATATAACATGCTTTGCCACAAATTCTAGGGCTCCAAGTACCTCCTCAAAAGGTATTTGGATCCTCTAAACCCACCCCAAACACCTTCTTAGAAGGTACGACTGGAGCCCTAGGGATTTTAGGGAATGTAATTAATTGGAATAATCCTTTACGGCTTGGAGGGACAGCTGTGCGATGTGATCCTTACCAGGAGTCACATGGAGCTCAGGGTGGTCGGGGCTGTGGTGAGGTTCGGCACCCATTGGGCACCCCGACTTCCTCCGTTCGTTCGGCACCCCATCTTGTGACTCCTGGTACCACTCCTGGTGTATGTGTATCAACATGATATCAAAAATAGATCAAACAACATGTAGCACAAATATGTATTTGGACCGGACGTACGCATACCCACCCCTTATACATGTTTAAGGAGCAGGTATACACTATAATATCCAATATACTTCACCTTCTGTGAACGACACCTAAACCATCCGAAACCCATCCCAGCCGATACTCTGTTGGGTTCATGACCCATCCAAACTCAAGAATGGCTCCCACAACTGGTGCATGATGGAAGAACCATCTGCAGCAGGGATACACAAAATTACTCTGCAAACTCCATCCACTTTGTGGGCATCTGCAGTTTGCTGCACTTGTTTGCTCCCCCCGATGTTTGTCGCGCCACGCGGAACACTCCGTTGCTCCGTTCGATCCAGGCGGCGTCGTGCACCGCAAAGAGCGCGGAGCTCGTTCTGGGCGCCGCGGAGGGCGGAGCGCCCGCCGCGTGGAGAGTGCGGACATCGCGGTTGGCGCCGGGTGTGGTGAAGTGGACATGAAGTGCACGAATTGAGTGGCATAGAAGGCGTGGACACTCCGAATTCGGCTACAGTTGGAACATCGTCGGAAGCAACGGTCTGGAGGGATTTGACCTCCAGAGAGGCATGTATCACACTTAAAGAATTATAAGCAAAGGACCAAATATAGCTTGGAAAAGAAAGAATGTATCACACAAACCACACCTGTGAAGTCACAGGTGAACATGTTTGCCCAACCTTTCAATCTGATCCAACCATCTTGCTTTGGCCACTCTGTTGTTCCGTCCTCTGCTTCCATCCTCTCCCGATCTCCGGTCACCCGTGTGGTTGGGTCGCGATTCGCTGGTCGCTTCTGCCGAGCAACAAGTAACGTGGAAGAGTTCGGAGGCTCAAGGCACTTGCAAGGACCTCTGTACTTCGTGAAAAGGAAGGTGCTCGGGGTTCGGGGGAAATGGTATCCCAAACAATCCATGAGTTTCGGGGTCAATGTATGCATAATATGTATATTCCATATTAATATACATGGAGTGTACGGGTATGGAATGGTGCCGTGGTATGGGATGAGGTCTACAAGTGACCCATATTCCGTGACATATAGCTTCGCGAAGGTGGAGGAGGCAAGTCCGTTTGTTGTAGAGTCTTGTTGCTTGGTAGTGAGGGTTTCTTCCAACAAGAATGTCCAACATACCAGCTGCTCCCTTGCATGGTCACCTAGGACAAACAGGACACCTCGACAGGAAATGTCCAACATCGGCTAGCAGGTGTTGAGTTTGAGTTTTGCCGGCCAAACAGCTCTTGTCTCTTCGATTTCACGAGGGCCTTTCGACTCTCAACTCCTGAGGATTTGACCCTTCGACCAAGCGGCCAAGCGGCGAAGGGTAGGCGAACCAACCGGTACGATCTGTGGCACTTTTGCTCAGGGAAGCTGTTGACACCAGAAACGAAGTACATGGAAAAAAACTCTGGAACACGTATACTGGGGCGGCCTGGGTCGAGTCGAGTCAAGACCCATCACGACATCCTACAAGATCCTAGTATTGACAAGATCCATCAAGATCCCTGTCCAGGTTCAGAGGTGAAACCCCAGGTTCAGAGGTGAAACGTGTGTGACCCACACCCAGCTTCCAATATTTGGTCACCATTGAAATCGAGGATGACAACCAAGGCGAACATGGTGGTGCACACGGTGCATTGATTCTGCGTGTTCCTGACCTCCTTACGCAGCGAATTTGAGTGATAATACAAACGTCCTGCAGTAGGTCTGCAGGTAGATTGGCATACTGAGCCAAGCCAACGATGGGTGGATCAACACCCCCCTCTCGCAGGGACTGTGACTACAAATGTTTGGCAAATGGTCAGTCGCTATCATGTCAACATGTTTCAACCAACCCCAATCAACGATGGTCCCTGAACCTGAGGAAACATGTTTGCCACCAGTTCCCCAAAAACATGCCAAAAACTAGTCGCCTGTTTCTTGTCCATATGTCCAGAAGGTGGCATCTCATTCAGTGTCAGTGCTGCATGATGTTCTGGAAACTGGACCCTGACAATGGGCCCATGGAAGATCGTTTTCCTCTATCAACCAGCGTCTTTCAGGGTCCATGTTAGTCTTCAAGAATGACTTCTTCCCCAACTTCCCAAGCACGCAAACCCCACAAATCCACGCGATTCAGGAGCCCCCCCAGCCACGTCTGGGTGTGTTACGCGTTGTTGTTTTTTCCGCATCTTCCAACGACGGACCTCACCTCCTTCAAGCCCCTCCACCACAACAAAGGCCACCACCTGAGCTTGAACTGTGTTTTTTCTTGCGAGTGCACACCGTTCCGGGCACCCGGCAGCAAAAGGAAGAAACATAATAAATTAAGATCCAACTCAACATCAATTATTGAATATACAAAGTCCGCGCAGCGCGCTGTGTGAAACGACGAGACTCCACCAAAACTTGTCGGAAATAGATTCAAGAATAGATAGTTTATTTCCTGATGTTTGATCATGGATCCATTGGGCCACCGTCAATGTCATGGCCAGAGGGACTGGATTGATGTTTTCCCCCTTTCCAAAACTTGGAATTGGACTCACGCAAACCGTCTCCCTTGTTCGACGAGGAACCCCGGTGTCGCCGCCGCTCACGCATCTGAAACATGGTTTGATGACCCACGCCTTCACTCATCCATTGACCGACCCATCTACCAGCTGTCCGCTCAAATCATCCCAGCATTCCATGCTTCAGATCCACCGCCCGCCGGGCATCCCGGACCAGTAGGCACGCAAGCCGGCCCTGCGGGGATCCGATCAGGTTCACCGCGCCGGACGAGGCCGGCCGTCAGATGGTCAGACGTGGCAGGTATACGACGTCGATTTTTGAGACAGTTCTGATGTTTGCCCAGTTCCAGAACTCCTGTCTCACTTCTGGGTAGTTTGAACCCTTTTCAACCACCCCACTTCTTTGGTATGCCAGTCCCATGGGTTGTGTCTGCGTCACAAGAAAGACGCCCCATGTGGCCCGGCGGGTACACCTGCCGAAAGGCTACTTGAAGCGCTTGTTCAGTGTTTCATCAGACTGCACCCTGATCCATGTAGGGTTGCCGATTGCTAAAACTTGTTCTTTTTGGGGAATCCCTCATCATGGCATTTTCATGAAGGGTCACAGGGATAAACACCGTTTGGAACATGTTGGGGAAAACGAAAGAAACAATACCCAAGATGCAGTTCCAACGACTTAACCGCTGGAACCATGTAAACTTAGATCTTGTCTACGACCGAATCAGGGGTCCACGCTGTTCAGACTTGGTCCGGAAGCTCCTGAGAGTGGGATTCCTGGAATCTCCTAAGAATCTTTGGTCCCTCCATGGCAGGGGACCGGACAGTCAAAACCCTTCCCATTTGAGGGCCCAAAGGTTTTTGTTTTGTGTATATCCTCAAAGCTAATGGTTGTTCGGAAAAGGCTATTGAATCAATGGCGGTTCAAATCCCAGGGTTACTAAAGAAAATGTCGTGCACAAAACTGCTGGCAGGATCATGGGACAAAACGATGAACATCTTCCGTGTTTCAAAGGCCTCTGGGGCCTCGGACTCTGGTCGAGGTCGCACCACTTGGATGTCCCGGTAGAAGTTTGCTCAGTTCATCTTAGGTCACACATGCTCCCTCCAACAGGTCAGAGGTCTACGGTGCGCTTGACATGAACGATCTGTCAAGTAGACCACAGCAGCGAAAACCAAACGTCGACCACCACGTCGTACTTCGTCCATACGTCGACCATCCATGGGACTGGAATATGATGCCAATCAGTTGGGGTGATTTTAAGATGTGGACGGGTTGTAGGTCAATGTTCCAGTCCCATGCCCTGGGGATCCGTTTTCGTACCGAACCTCAGGTACGGTGATGTGTTCGGCACTGTTATGTAGGTGCCAAAACGTCGGATCCAGTCGTACCGAACCCAGTCGGTTCGGTACAGAACCTAAATCAATATAGCGATGGATTCTTAGCCCAGGCTTCTACCGCTCCGGTAGAAGCTGGGCTGAGCCGGGTCGGACCGGGTCGTTCCCCACCTGCGCCAAGCGTTCGTTCCTGGCCCAGCCTAGGCTGCGGGTCCCATCGCAGCAGTTGGTCGCAGCAGGTCATCGATCGCAGGGTGGGACGGGACGAAGGATACTGATCAAATTGGCAGGGTGTTGGGGCGTTGATCATTGGCATGGGTGTTGGGCAAATTGGGTGTTGGTACTAAGAGAGGTGGAAAATGACCTGAACTAGCACCCTACTGAGTCCTCTGAGGTACCGGTTACCTGGGATAGTCGAATACTGTGGCTCATGGCATCTGGGCGGCCCCCCCGGTCATGGCTGAACAGAGTCCCTTTTTTTGGTGTCAACCTGCCATGGTTTGGTGAGGTGGAGTCCCTCACAGCCAATTTTGTGGACGTCAAGTTACTCCTGCGCCACTCCAATTCTTTCCTCAGGTCACAACGTACAAACAAGAAGATTTGTTGACGTCTTTCCAACCTGTCACTCAATCAAGCACTAGCCGATATACGTTAGACTCAACCAGTGAAATTTATACAAACACAGCGTCCAAAACCTGTCCAAACCGCATACCGACATGTTTGTGATCCTCCGGAGGTATTCACACTTCAAGGATTTCAACACGCGGCGCCGAAATCAGCATGTGAATGCATGTGACAAATCAATACGCACCTTTAAAAAGCCACAGGCTTTCTATCTGCATGGCATCTTTTGTTTTTTCGACCCCACCAACGCCGACCTCGGCCGCCGAACTCCCGCCCTGGGCGACCCCCACCCGGCTCACGTCCACGCTCCTCAGTGGCCGGCCGAGAAGGAGACCGAGTTCAAGAAAATGACATTGCTGGTTGATGCCGCTCTCCTTCCCTTGCTGACGGTCTGGACG